TTAACTGAATACAGTAGAAATACAGGAGGGAAAACACCAACACAAGCGCGAACAAATAAAAGAATATTGTTAAAATCTGTGAAGATTTTTTTTTTCACTGAATAATAGGCCGATCCCTTCAAAAAGGTGCACGTATAACATCATGAAGACGCACAAAACAGAAGGAAAGCAGCCTAGCCATTTCTGTTCTCAAACATAACTAAAGAAAAATCGACATAACTTAAAGTGAAGTTGAATTTTTTTAATTTAATTACTATTTGACAGACCGTTTTTTTCAATTACTATCTGACAGACCATAAAAACAACTTTAGCTACCGCATAACCCTTCTTCACCACAACATCTTCAGGTTTAGAAAGTAGCCGGTGCGGCAACTGGAGCGGCCTTTTTCTCGAAACCAGTGAGAAGCTTCTTGATTTCTCCAATTGCTTTTGCTGGATCCAAATGCTGAAAAAAAAGCCGCGCAAATATTTTACAACCAATAACATCACGATCATCGCGTGGACCAAAAATACGTAATATGGTAAAAAAAAAAAAATGAGGCAATTTTCTTCAATTAACATTTTTTGCGCAAAATCCAACCCACAGATCAAAAGCGGTAGGTAACCAAGTCCCGGCTTTCTAATAAACCACCCACCACTAAGTATAAAAAGCAGAAATTCGGAGATAAGCTGACTGAACTGTTCAAAAATACACAATAAACATGTGTCTCAGCAAAAGCACTACAGCAGTTATACTGATGAGGTCCAGTTTTGGTGCCGGAAAAGAATGTATGCGTCTTAATGGGCCAAAACATTCCTGTTCAAATTTAATTATTTTTACATGTCTGTATTTTTCATTATCTACTCGCTTAATTTTATTCGTTTCTTAGCTTATAATCTACAAATACTAATTACTAAAGTGCCACACTATCACTACTCTAATAGTATGTTATACTAACATCAAAATAAAATAAAACCTAGCGCAAACGCGCTCGGAAGTGGCTATTACTTTTAAGGAAAATACAGAGGACTTAAACATGAGATGGCTTGTATAAAACAGAAAATTTTCAAAAATCCCGTATGAATCTTCAAAAATACCTTCGGGCAAGTTTTGGTGCAATTCAGAATTGTATGACATTTGAATGCACTGAAATGATCGTGAATCTTTGACAGTCGTTCACTGGCATAATCATCTCGAGAATCGATTATCCATCTAAAAGATATGTCTGATTCAAAGTTTTAAATTCAAATTTTTTATAAATCTCAGACTAACTGTTAATTATCTTGAGTATGCTTAAGCATCATCTTTCACTTAATATATTGGACGCATTTTTGCAAAGGTAGGGCTGGGGGTGCGAGGGAGAGGGGAGGTGTAAGTGGGGGAGTCGAACCTTTCACATTCGAACAGGACGTGCTAAACCACCGCAATACCGGTCCCTACACTCCGTGAGTTTGTATTAACTATTCCTTTATGCGGGATTTACTGGACATTCCCGCCACAGAAATGCCTTCGGACTCCAAAAAACGCGAACCTCACCGCAGAATGTGTTTGCCGGCTTATCTGGCCTCTTTCCATCCGATGCTTTTTCCCGCGGATAGAGCCCGTTTTACAAAAAGTATGGATCAGGGAAGAATCGAACTCCTTATCTCCGGATCCAAAATCGAATAGTGCAACATCGGTGCGCATATTTTAACTTACAGTAACAAAATTCGAACAAATATTAACTAATCATTCAATAAATGCCAGTTTTTCGCAAGGCTTTTGCAACACCACCGAAGAGCTCTGTACGTGTTATAGTCATAATAAATTGTATAATGCATCAGGATCTTCAAGGCTTAAAAGTTTGAAAATTAAAAGTTATGTTGCCCACGAAACCTTGGGTTTGCCAAAAAAATAAATGACCTGTAGGACTGTAGAAGAATGGCCGGTCCAAGATATTTGTCCGCATTCCACCAGTATGATGGGCAGCTCGTGCTGCAGCAAGCACAGAGAATGCATTCATACAAGCCATCCTGAAAAACAACAACAACAATATGTCCTTAATTTGCCTTTAAACGTTTAAAATATTTCGAAAAAATTAGAAAAAAGCCGAAAAAGAAAAAAAAAACGAAAAAAAAAAACAAAAAGAAAAGTCAGAGGCAAATAAAAATCTTAGTCAAAATTTCGCCCTCACCCCTTTCCCGCGTTCCTCACAAGCCTGGTAAAATTACAAGAACTAACAATGTGGAAGTTCTCAATGCTGCTGAAATATGGCTGCGGAACGGAGTCTAAAAAAAAACCAAAAAAAAAAAAAAAATCAAAGAGATAAATAAAAGCCTTAGGCAAAATTCCGGTCCTCCCCTTTCTCCCTTCTCCCCTCCTTCCCCGTACCTCTTTCATAAACCACTCATTTAAGCCCTTTTTCTCATAACTTACTCAAGAACTAGAATCAGGCAGCATGTGCTAATAGTCGGCAGTCGCTGCATGGGTTATCAATGGGTTCCACTTTTGAAAGCTATTTGGAAGCAAGCTTTTGTTTCTTTCAAAAAGCCAGTTGTTCCAAACAGCCTTCCGGACTCCTCAGATCCAAGACGAAATTATTTGGATTGTCTTGATGCATTCTGGTGGCACTTCGGTCCGGGGATAGCGCGTATTTCTACAGCCCATGCATCACTTTGAAAATCTTCCGAGTGGTCGCTTCCTTCCTCGCGTTTACCACACACCGATGGAATGATGATTGCACGGTAGGTAATTAAACGTAGCATTTCGAAGAAATTTGAGGAGTTCAGTGCTGGAATGTTTTTAACTTGTTTCTCTAGTGACCAATTTACCACTGAAGGAAATGAACTGTATGGGGATGGGCACCCTGTCCCCCCCTCCCCCCCACTCCCCCTGATCACAGCATACTTATGGACACAATAAGAAAAAACAAGATTAAAAAACTTATTT